TTATTCCTTTATCTATGTTGTTTATGTAAATTGCAAACAACAACGGGCCCAACACTGACCCCTGAGGAACACCGCTTGTGACGTGCCCCCATTCTGATTTCTCCCCATTTATGCAAACTGTCTGCTGCCTATTTGTCAGCCATGCCTCTACCCAGGAAAAAATTTCTCCTATTCTGTGTGCCTTAACTTTCCTCAATAGCCTCTGGTGTGGAACTTTATCGAAAGCTTTACTGAAGTCTATATACACAATATCATATTCATTACCAAGATCTACCTCCTCAAACACCTTAGTGAAAAAAATGCCATCCAGACAAAGGAATGGCAATCCGTCAGTCTAACAAGTACAATGACACTGTAATGTCTCAATTCAGACAGATGTTAAAACAGAACCTGAAACAAACCTCACTGGACAGGTTTTCAGTGACACAAAGAATCAGTGAGCTAGAAGAGGGTGTTAGTGGTGAAAAGAGACAAATAAGAGAAACAGAAAGAGAGTTGCCTGACATATTATTAGAAGGTGACTCTCCTTCCAAGCAGTAACATACCCCCTCCTCTCCTCCACCTTCTGCTTCCAGTATGCCATTAGTTCTCTGACAGGTAAGAGGCAGTTACATTTTTATTTACTTTACAGTATTTCAGTTAAATTTCATTTAGTATTCATTTTTAGTTTCCCTGTGCTGTATAATTTTATACATTGTTTTATGAAGTAGTACATTATTATTAATAAATTATTATATTGTCATTTTTGGTCTGGAATGGATTAAGTCTATTCACATTACTCTTTATGGGAAAAATTGGTTTGGTTGTCGATCATTTTGGTTGTCAAACTGACATGCAATGAGTTAAATTCGACAACTGAGGTTCCACCATATACTGTATGTACACTTTATATGCGTTATTATTATAATAGGTTATTATTATAATAGATTATTATTATAAGAGGTTTATTATTATCAAACCACGGGCGGGGATAGAACCCGCGATCAGAGAGTCAAAACTCCAGACCGTCACGGGTTCTATCCCCGCCCGTGGTATGGTTTGTTTGCAATCGTGTCATTACGATTTCGTGAGTCAGGTTATTATTATAATAGGTAAAAATATCCTGTGCACAAGATATTTTTACCTATAATAAAATTTATACTATTAAAATTCAAAGTTTATTCTCTATAAAGATTACAATGTTGAATTTACAGAATTTGGTTGTTGTGTGGTTTACATGTAGTTAAATAATGATTACAGAGTGTACCACTAGAACGCCTAGCATGGCTAGGCATTTCGGGCAGACTTAGTTTAATTCTTTATTTTAAAATATTACAAATTATGAGGTTTATCTGGAGAGAGTTTATCTGGAGAGAGTTCCGGGGGTCAACGCCCCCGCGGCCCGGTCTGTGACCAGGCCTCCTTAGGTCAGTGTCCCAGGATGCGACCCACACCAGTCGACTAACACCCAGGTACCCATTTTACTGATGGGGAACATAGATAACAGGTGGAAAGAAACACGTCCAATGTTTCTACTCTGGCTGGGAATCGAACCCAGGCCCTCACCGTGTGAAGTGAGAGCGTTAACCACCAGGCCACCAGAGGTAAGTTGGTATTATGGCTAAGTGACTAAATACTAGTTTGTGAGTTTAGCAATGTGAATGCTTTTGTTTTGGCACAGTACATAGTTTCAGTATTGGAGTATCATAGGATTCATTATTTTAAGATTGAGATTAATATTTCTGTTTATGGTCAAATGGGTGAGTGAGTGTAAGTGTGAACCACCAGGTGGTATTCGTGTAGTTAGTTGATGGGGTGTATCAGGGAGATAAGATGTTTTCTAATGGTAGTTTTGAAGGTGATGAATGTGTCTGCTGTTCTAGAGTTTTCAGGTAGGGTGTTCCAGATTTTAGGGCCTTTGACATACATTGAATTTTTGTAAAGGTTTAGTCGGACACGGGGAATGTCGTAGAGATGTTTGTGTCTGGTGTTATGCCTGTGGGTTCTGTCACAACTATCAAGAAAATGTTTTAGGTCAAGGTTGATATTGGAGTTAAGGTCCTGTAATGTAGATTGAACAGTAGTAAGTGTGGATGTACTGAACAGGGAGTAAGTTTTAGATCTATGAAGAGTGGGGGTGTGTGCCAGGGATGGGTTTAGTGATTATTCTTACTGCAGCTTTTTGTTGGGTTATTATTGGCTTTAGGTGTGTTGCTGCAGTTGATCCCAAGCACAAATAGCATAGGTGAGGTATGAATAAATAAGTGAGTGGTATATTGTGAGAAGGGCATTTTGCGGCAACGTAGTATCGTATCTTGGAGAGGATCCCAACTGTTTTGGATACTTTTTTGGTTATGTGTTGGATATGGGTGCTAAAAATTCAGGTTGTTGTCAAGGTATAGGCCTAGGAATTTGCCCTCATTATGTCTGGTAATTAGAGTGTTGGTCGATCTTAATGTTAATTTGTGCATCTCCTGCTCTGCTACCAAACATAATATAGTAGGTTTTTGTCAGTGTTAAGCGTAAGTTTATTGGCTGTCATCCAAGTCGATATTTTGATCAGCTCCTCGTTAACAATGGTGTTGAGGGTGGCAAGATTAGGGTGAGAGATGACATAAGTCGTGTCGTCAGCAAAGAAATGGGTTTCAGGTGTTGATACGTTTGGAAGATCATTGATGTATATGAGGAAGAGCAGGGGACCAAGGACACTTCCCTGCGGAACTCCAGTATCAAGGGGGCTGTGTTGTTGATGCGGGTTCTTTAATGGTAACATACTGATACCTATTAGTAAGGTAAGATTTGAAATAAGCAAGCGCATGGCCTCTTATACCGTAATAGTCAAGTTTGTGGAGTAGGATGTCATGGTCTACTGTGTCAAAAGCTTTTCTTAGGTCAATAAAAATTTCCTAGTGGATATTCCTTATTTTCCAATGCTGTGTAAAGCAGATCTAGATTTTTATGATTGCATCATTAGTGCTTTTATTTTTCCTAAATCCAAATTGGCAGGGGTTGAGTATGTTTTGTGCTGTTATAAATGAATATAGTCTCCTGTGCACGGTTTCTCAAAGATTTTGGATAGCAAGGGTAAGTCTGATATTGGCCTATATTTTGTTTAAGTCTGTAGGGTCCCACCTTTATGTTTTGGTGTAACCCTTGCCATCTTGAGTAGTTTCGGGAAGGTGCTAGTTTCTAGTGACTTGTTAAAAAGTAAAGAAAATAGCATTTCGAAAGGAAATGGGGCGCTCGCTTTACAGTAATGGTGGGACATTAGACAGATTCCCCGAGTTGTTTTTAAGTGACTTTATAATCTCGGTGACTTCCGAGGGCTCAGTTGGTGCAAGATAGAAGGAATTTGGGAAATTCCCATCTAGGTGTCCCCGGCATGGGCATTGGTATGTGGGATTTTTTTTGGCGAGATTAGATCCTATGGTTGAGAAGAAGTTGTTTATCTTGTAGCTGTGTCAGTGGGATGTAGTGGTGTTCATTAGGTTTAGTTAGGACAATATTCTTGGTTTTTTTTAGTTTTTTGGGTCCCTAGAATCTGAGAGAGTGTTTTTCCAGGTCTTTTTTATATCTCCTCTAGTGTCTGTGAATCTACTGGAGTAGTATAGTTGTTTGGCTTCTTTATTACTTTGGTGAGAACTGATGAATAGTGTTTAAGAATATCTTTTGTGTATTAAGCCTGTCTATATTGCTTTTCATATTGGTGTTTCTTGTCAATGGGGGTTTTCAAATGGTGCTGGTTAGGGCCCTGGGCAAACCAAGCCGTTTGTTTGTGATCTGTTTTTGTTTTTATAGACAATGTTTGTTGCATAGTCTAAGTAATTTGTTAAGAAAAATGTCTGTCCAGTCATCCCAAAACCATTGGCCTTGGAGAATTCTGTAGGCCAGTCAACAATCTCTAGGTCAGCTGTGAACTTCCTTATTGAGGCCTCGTCATGGAGTCTAATGAGACTTTGTTGTTTCAAGTGGGGGTTTATTAATGTTTGTCAGGAGGAAGGTAGGGTAGTGGTCTGTAGTGCTATCTGTGATTATCCCTGATTTAAGGGGGGCTAGTTATTGGTCCATATGTGGTCTATTATGGTTGCACTTGTCTCAGTGAGCCTGGTTGGTTTAGTTATTGTTGGTATGGGGAAAATGTGTTGTTCATATTGGTGATGAAATCAGTTACAGGCTGATCATCTAGTAAGCCAAGGTTGATGTTGAAGTCTCCAGCTAAGAGAAGGTGGTGCTTATTCATTTGTCTGTTTGTTATTAGTGACTTTAATTTCTCACTGAAATTTGGGATGTTTGTGTGAGGTATCCGGTAAATGGCACCGATTGTTATAGGTGTCTTAAGGTTTTTTACAGTAAAATTAGCAAAAATGTATTGTTATTCTCTACAGAGTTTTATTAAAATCTGCATATTTCATTTTGCTGAAAGAGGTGTATACATAACTACTTGCCAGGTCCATGAAATGTAATCTCTGTTTTAAACTTCCCACACTTTAATTATTGTTTAAGCCCAGGAGGGAGTATGGCCTCACCCATACTCTGTGTGCCATTTTCCATTGCTGCATAATACCATTTAACTACACATTTAAATGTGAGTGAACACTGTTTCTGTGAGTCAAGGATGTGTATTGGTGTTTTTGTAGGGTCCATATGTCTGTCTTGTGGATAGCTACAGGATATTCATGTCATGATATGTTTCTGTCCATTCTAGGCATTCTACATGGATGGCTATCTGTGCATTGTCAGTGTTGGAGCACATGGAATTACACTTCCTAGCACTGTAATTGGGAATTTAGTTTTAGGACCTCATGGTGTCCACCTTAGTGTTTGACTGTTGCTATTACTGCTCAATATTTGCTAACTGGTCAAAGTGTTGATTACTGAGTCACAATGTTATTTTTCATATTTATTTATTTTTATCATTGGATCTGTGCATGCTATTTGTTAAACATAAGCTAACAAATAACATGCATGTTAGCCATGGGCATGTTAGCTATGGGCTAACTAATACCACTCACTCTGCTTACCTTAACAATTTTATCATCTTACTGTGAGTTTTATTATGTATAAACCATGTTAATTTTAAGTATACGTAGTGTATGCAAAGTTTTGCTTGAGAAGCTGTGCAGTCTTTGGGACTTCATTTAATTATATATCTTGTGCTGTAACACAGAAATTGACATTAGTATCTCCATTTGTATTCGACAACTGTGTAGCTAAAATGGCCAACAAATTGTTCTTACAAATATTCCACTAAATAATTATATGTTACAAGTAGATGTAGGTTATTTAAAACTGCCCAAAGTGTTCTGCATAATCAGGAGCTTTCTATAAAGTATGTCAATATCAAATTTTCTGTATAGACTGTAAACCATTTCTTATAGCAATAAAATTTACTTTTAGTCTCTGTTATGATCTGCTTAGTTTTAACAGGACAATGCTTATTGAAGAGGCTTTTTATTTTTCGTAGAAAAATATTGACCCATTTGTCAATGACTCTATTGTCATTAAACTTTCTGTGTCAGGCAATGTCACATACTACAATAATGAAGTTACTTACTAATGTCTCATCATCAAGACAAAAGGAAGTTTACTAGTTTTGAGTGGGCATCTATGTAAGTTGGTTGTGAGGAAGATGGGGTTGTGATCAGTAGTATTGTCTGTTTATCCCAGCTCTGAGAGGAGCTATTATATTAGTCCAGGTATGATCAACTGAGAATGCACTCGTCTCAGAAATTCTTGTTGGTTTAGTTATAACAGGTATTAGCAAGGAATTGTAAATGTTATTAAAGACATCAGTTACCTGAGGGTCATCAGCTAGGACAAAGTTTATGTTGATGTTTCAACTCCAGCAAGTATTTGATGGTTTAACAATGTCATATTGACCACAATGATATTAGGGTAGCAATCAACCTAGTTACTATCTAGAAGCTTATAGTCCAAAATGTATAAATAAGAGTAAACCCTAATTTATAAATGTAGAGAATTAGAGATACTCCACTTGTTATATACATCTCTCACTCTACCTGGAGTTTACCTAGATCTGAAACGACAGAAAAATCCTAACATAGTCAATAAAAACATGAGATCCTTTCAGAAATTGTAGACATGCTCTCCCCAGCAAGGTTACAAGTAAGCCTCGAGGGAGACAGGAGCTATAGTGGGAAAACAAGCGTAGTCAAGGACAAGATAAAACCAATATTACAAACTAGTAATACCACAGGAGATAGCAAACAAGGGGACTCCGTTAGTAATAGTGAAGATATAGTACCAGAAACAACTGGTGAGAGCTCCACTGTTAGTACTAGTGAGGATAGGAATGAGACAGGAAAACATACACCAACAGGGAATACAGTCACAAAAACCCAAGGCAAACGGAAACCAAGCCTGTGCACATATTATGTCCTTGGTATCTGCAGGCATGGGAAATCTGGAAAAACAGATGGGACGTGCAACTTTGACCACCCTAGAAAATGCCGTGCCCATATGACAACAGGAAAATGCAAACTCACTTCCTGTAAGCTTTTTCACTCTGAAATGTGTCCTTCTTCAGTATAGGAAAGACTGTGCTATAAGTTAAATTGCCAGGCACACCATCTAAAAAGGACAAAAAGATTCAAAACACCCACACCATGGAAAAACCTGGGTAGCCACAGCCACTCAAGAGGGAGAGGTTTTTTAGTGCCAGGAAGAAAAAAAAAAACTGGCAAGAAATATCAGAAATCATAGATCAAATCCAGTCATTTCTGGAGTGGAACCACAGTCGATGGCCTCCACTCCAAACCAACAGATACAGATATTAGTGCCGGAAAAAAAAAGTCCCCACCAGTACCATCAATCCAATGACATTCTTCTTCGCAAATATACGGGGTCTAAATCCAGCAACGAACAACAAAATACCTTTCATCGTGGACTGCTTGCAGAGGCAAATGCAATGTTCGTGGCTTTTACAGAGACCCACATAAAGGATCACTTGGACAACGAAATATGGATCCCGGGTTACAACCTATACAGATGCAACAGAGTGAACAGGCAAAAGGGGGGCGTTGGCAAGTATATTGCAGTCACTTATTTGCACAGAACTGCTTAATGCCTCAAATGATGTAGTGGAAGTTTTAGCAGTAAAGATCGAGAACCAAAACCTAGTCATTGTGGTAGTCTACAAGCCTCCGGATGCAACGTCCCAACAATTCCAGGAACAGCTGTTGAAAATTGACCACTGTCTGGAAAATCTTCCAGCTCCTGCCCCCAACATCTTGCTCCTGGGGGATTTCAACTTGAGGCACCTGAAATGGAGGAATATAGCAAATAATGCTGTTGCAGTGATAACACCAAGAGGCAGCTCAGATGAGAATTCATACACACACGACCTTTTAAGTCTCTGCACAAAATTCAACTTAAACAAGCTAATAATAGAGCCTACTAGACTGGAGAATACACTGGACCTCATCTTCACTAACAATGACAATCTGACACGAAATGTCACCATATCAAAAACAATACACTCAAATCACAACATAATCGAGGTTCAGACATGTATGCGCGGAGCCCCAGACCGACAAAATGAGATCAGTCACGAGGGAGCCTTCACCAAATTCAACTTCAATAAGAAGAACAAAGTGGGACAAAGTAAACCAAGTCCTAAACGATATTAACTGGGAAGATAGACTAAGCAACACAGACCCCAACTTATGCCTAGAACAGATTAACTCTGTGGCACTCGATGTATGTTCAAGGCTTATTCCTTTAAGAAAAAGGAGTAGATGTAAAATAGAAAGAGACAGGCGCTCCCTTTACAGGTGACAGAAAAGAATAACAGAGCGGCTAAAAGAGGCCAATATATCTGAAATACGTAGGGAGATACTGGTCAGAGAAATAGCAAACATCGCACTAAAGCTAAAGGAATCTTATAGGAGTCAGGAATCACGGGAAGAACTAAAAGCCATAAATGAAATCAAAAGAAACCCAAAGTATTTCTTTTCTTATGCCAAATCATAGTCGAGAACAACATCCAGTATTGGGCCCCTACTTAAACAAGATGGGTCCTACACAGATGACAGCAAGGAAATGAGTGAGCTACTCAAGTCCCAATATGACTCAGTTTTTAGCAAGCGGCTAACCAGACTGAGAGTCGAAGATCTAAATGAATTTTTTATGAGAGAGCCACTGAATTTGGTAAACACAATCCTATATCATGTTATCCTGACGCCAAATGATTTTGATAAGCCGATAAATGACATGCCCATGCACTCTGCCTCAGGGCCAGACTCGTGGAACTCCATGTTCATCAAAAACTGCAAGAAGCCCCTATCACGTGCTTTTACCATTCTATGGAGAGGGAGCATGGACACGGGGGTCATCCCACTCCACAAAGGGGGCAGTAAGGCAAAGAACTACAGACTGATAGCACTAGCATCCCATATCATAAAAATCTTTGAAAGGGTCCTAAGAATCAAGATTGCCACCCATCTAGATACCCATCAATTACACAACCCAGGGCAACATGGGTTTAGAGCAGGTCGCTCCTGTCTGTCCCAACTACTGGATCAATACAACAAGGTCCTAGATGCACTAGAAGACAAAAAGAATGCAGATGTAATATATATTGACTTTGCAAAAACCTTTGACAAGTGTGACCATGGCGTAATAGCTCGCGAAATGCATGCTAAAGGAATAACAGGAAAAACTGGCAGATGGATCTATAATTCACTCACAAACAGAACACAAAGAGTAGTAGTCAAGAGAGTAAAGTCTGAGGCAGCTACGGTGAAAACCTCTGTTCCACAAGGCACAGTACTCACTTCCATCTTGTTTCTCATCCTCATATCTGACATAGACAAGGATGTCAGCCACAGCACTGTGCCCTCCATTGCAGACAACACCCGAATCTGCATGACAGTGTCTTCCATTGCAGACACTGCAAGGCTCCAGGCAGACATCAACCAAATCTATCAATGGGCTGCAGAAAACAATATGAAGTTCAACGATGAGAAATTTCAATTACTCCGATATGGTAAACATAAGGAAATTAAAACTTCATCAGAGTACAAAACAAATTCTGGCCACAAAATAGAGCAAAAGACTCGGCAGACAATGCAAATCCCCCAATGAAAAGCAGGGGTGTCACTAGCACGTTAAGTGATAAGACAATAAGAGTCTGGGGCCCAAGACTGTTCAACTGCCTCCCAGCATACATAAGGGGGATTATCAATAGACCCCTGGCAGTCTTCAAGCAGGCACTGGACAAGCACCTAAATGTAGACAGCCTGGACTGTCTGCACAGACAGCCTATGCTGTCTGCCAGCTTAGTTCATATTTCGCGCCACTCAAGTGTTGCCCTCTGTAGCCAGGCCTCTCGCCAGCCTGTCTGCCCTTGCCTCGCTCTCACTCTCACAGCAGCCTAGCAGGAAGACACAAGGCCTACACCTAGCTCTCTCTCATGGGATGGCCCTCCCGGGTCATGGGCACAACACACAAGCCTGTGTACCCACCACGACTTAACAATAAAGTAAGAAGCCTCCAAAGACGTATCATTTACACCCCACTACCAGAACACCAAATAATCCTTTTTTATAAATGGTAGCAGCGGTGGTCGCAGCAGTTGTTTGCCCAGAGAGAGGAAGGAAGGAATGAAGTCATCTTCACTTCATCATCCCATGCAAGAAGCATCCGTCTCTCAACGAGTTATCCTGATGTCGTGTCTGCACGTTTCAGCATCCAGACACAGGTACAAGCAGGACCTAGCCGAAATTTACCGAATTTCTTCGAGAATTGTAAGTGGCGTCCCAGTGACCCCACGCTACAGCGTCCCACACTGTTTCTCAAGTCACGTGTTCAGTGTCACTTGTATGTTGCTGTTTTTGTTCAGCTCAGCACAGCTGTTTCAGCAAGCCAGAGGTGAGTTTCGTGGTGATTTCTGCGTCCAGTGTGTTTCCCTGTGTTTGTGGGTGGGAGGAGGAGGAATGGCCAGATGCTCCCTCGCCATACATTCATCCACGCTCCTCGCCACCACACTACCATACACCACTCACCACTACTCACTCCCTCTGCTGTGTTTTCTGCTGTTTGTGAATTCATTGCCAGAGCTGTGTATCCGAGTGCCCAAGGCCACTCGAAGCTACATGGATCAGCATGCCACGTAGACCAGCATGCCACGTAGATCATGACGCCACGTGGATCCCGACGCCACGTGGGTGTGGGCGATGTCACGTAGATCTACCAGCCACGTGAGTTACCAGATGTCCCAGGCCTCATGCTGTGGTCTGCTGCCCGCATCACATTGACGTCACCGACGATGCTGCCCGACTTCATGATGTCACGATATCTGCCTGACATCACCTCAAGATGTCACCTCGCGACATCACGCCTGACATCACATGTCACATCGAGTGTTCTAGTAATTATTTCAGTATTGTCGAGAAGACTGAGAGAAGATATATGTTGTGTTAAATAATTCCTCTCAGTCAGTGTTCTCACATTTTAGTATATGTCTTAGTGTCAGTTTTGTGCGCAGAAAAGCATCATTTGCTAGTTTAAGCCATGTTGTACCGCGGGTGTGTAAAGTTTCCGTGTGTCCAGTGAGGTCTGAGCCAGACCTGAGTAGCACCACTGTGCTAAGTCACCCGATGTGACCAGTGCGTTTGACAGCTGATGTCAAGTCAGCCCCTGAGCCCGAGCCCTCTTGTACAGAAAGCTCTTATGCTCATCGCTCATAGATGTTCTGCAGAATCGTACCTGCTACGATTCCCATTGAGATTTGTTTCACTTCACCTCCAGACCTTCAGAGTGCAGTTATATGTAGAGAAACAAGTCTGGGGACGCTTAGACTAACCTCTGCTATAACTCCAACTGCTGAGAGATGACACTCGTCAAGCTGCAGTTAAGCCCTGTCGGCAGGCGCAGTGTCAGCCTCATGTCACAAGCTTCAGTGAGCAGCCTGTACAAAAAAGATGTCACTTTGACTGCTAGCTCTCTCACTGCAGTCTGGTGTATGATGTTACGACTCCCAGATGTTTCGCCCAGTCGTCTCTGCCACGACTCGCTCCACAACTCGCTCCACCCTCGCCAGCAGTGACAGCCCAGTGACAGTACCAGTCGAGAAGTGTCCTCCTGAGTTGCTTGCCAGAAGTCCTGCCCAGTTGCTGAGTTTTGTCGACGCCTCACTCGAGGGCATCAGCATGTCGTGCCCCAGGTTGAGTGAAACCTGCAGCGACTCCTACGATGTCTGCTTCACCGTTCCAGAGGAGACCGTAACCTGTTAAGTCAAGGCTCAGCCGCAGCGATGTCTCCTGTGTTGCAGTATCTGTCCAGACGCAGGAAGGCGTGCAGTGATGCACTTCGATGCTCACTGCCCTTGACCACGATGTTTAGCACACCCCACATGTTTTTTTTCTTCCCTCCCTGTAGGAAGTTTTTTTTCCATGTCCATATGTATATATATGTTTTTATTTTGTGTTCTGTGCCCTGTTCCTACGAGAGAGAGACCGAGTTTCTTTTACCACCAGTATTGTCGCGTCGGGACGACACGTGGTAGGTGGCCGAGCGTATGTAGACAGCCTGTACTGTCTGCACAGACAGCCTATGCTGTCTGCCAGCTTAGTTCATATTTCGCGCCACTCAAGTGTTGCCCTCTGTAGCCAGGCCTCTCGCCAGCCTGTCTGCCCTTGCCTCGCTCTCACTCTCACAGCGGCCTAGCAGGAAGACACAAGGCCTACACCTAGCTCTCTCTTGTGGGATGGCCCTCCCGGGCCATGGGCACAACACACAAGCCTGTGTACCCACCACGACTTAACAATAAAGTAAGAAGCCTCCGAAAAAGTATATCATTTGAACCCCACTACCATACTGCCAAACAAACTCGTTATATAAAGTCGGTACCTGACCAGCCAGGCTGTGGCTCATACGTTGGATTGCATGCAGCCAGCAGTAACAGCCTAGTTATCAGGCTCTGATCCACCATGAGGCCTGGTCACAGACCGGGCCGCGGGGGTGTTGACCCCCAGAACACTCTCCAGGTAAACTCCAGGTTACCTCACCTCACTAGAACCAACCAAGAGATGGATTACCACAAAATGTCAAAAAATAGGTGCTCATGGCTCAATTGGTAGCAGTCTCAGCCTGCACAATGAGTGACCCAAGTAGTGGAAACGTTTTGTATGTTGTATATACACCAGCTGCCACTCTTCACCTAGCATTTAGTAGGTACCTGGGTGTTAGTCAACTGGTGCGAGTTGCATCATGTGGTGAGATTTGAGAATCACATTGGAATTAAGCCAGACAGTCTTATGACAGTGACTTTGTTGGATTATCCTTGGTTACCTACCTTCTGGGTTAATAATTCCGTCAGTTTTCTCCTGAAATATACCTTCACTTCACCTCACTAGAGCAGAACAAGAAAGAGACGATCATATCAAGATAACATTTGTTGTTGTTGTTGTTCGGGGCCACCATAGGTGGCGCTTTATTGAGCCCTCCCACCCGGGAGGCCGGGAAAACAATATTATCCAAATCTGGTCAGGAATGAGAAAGAAAAAATTTCCTCCGGTATTCAAACGAGTGCATAAAATTTTCAACTTAGATCAGGTGGACCTCCAAGCCTCAGCACTGGCAGTGCCAGGCATCTTACTCCCTAAGATTAGATTAGATTAGATTCCTTACTAACAAAAAAAGGCACAATACCGTGACTGGAATGACAGTATTCTGTAAGGTAATTGCATTACCTAACAGAATACTGCATTCTACTGAATGCTCAGCAACGCAGTAAATGACCATATGACCTGTCTTTGAAATAATCATTTGTGCTTAATTGTTATTTGTTTACAATAATGCTTACCACTGAATATATCATTGTTTAGTTGAATATATCATTGTTTAGTTAATCTTAAGTTAATTTTAAGTCTGCCCATAATGCTCTGCATACAAGGGGCTTTGGCATGTTACATTTAACCACTGTATTTCTTTGTACTTCTATGTATCATGTTCAAATTAATAAAAAAAATAAATAAATAAATACACAAATAACCCGCACATAGAAGAGAGGAGCTTACGACGACGTTTCGGTCAGACTTACGAACATAAGAACATAAGAAAGGAGGAACACTGCAGCAGGCCTGTTGGCCCATACTAGGCAAGTCCTTTACAATTCATCCCACTAACAAAATATTTGCCCAACCCAATTTGCAATGCTACCCAAGAAATAAGCTCTGATGTGAAAGTCCCACTCAAATCCAACCCCTCCCACTCATGTACTTATCCAACCTAAATTTGAAACTACCCAAAGTCCTAGCCTCAATAACCCAACTAGGTAGACTGTTCCACTCATCAGCTACCCTATTTCCAAACCAATACTTTCCTGTGTCCTTTCTAAATCTAAACTTGTCTAATTTAAATCCATTACTGCGGGTTCTCTCTTGGAGAGACATCCTCAAGACCTTATTAATATCCCCTTTATTAATACCTATCTTCCACTTATACACTTCGATCATGTCTCCCCTCATTCTTCGTCTAACAAGTGAATGTAACTTAAGAGTCTTCAATCTTTCTTCATAAGAACATAAGAACATAAGAATTGTGGAAATTATTTAATTTCCGAAGCTATAGTGCCTAATAAGTGTTTAATGTGTTGATTTGGGTCAAAATGTATTTGTATTTTGAATGGAACCAGCTGGGTTCCCACTGCGCCTGCGCAGATGTGCGGGGGGGTGAGGGGTCGAGCTGGGGTACGTGGTGGCGGCAGTGTTTTGAATGGGTGAGGAGGCTGTGAAAACCGGGGATGAGGAAACTGGCGTTCACGGCGGCCTAAGGATTAATAGGCCTCAATTCATAATAGGAAGTGTCGTGACTGTCCCTAGTGAAGAGTGAGGGAACGTGATTTACAGGACCACCGTAAAAAGGAGGTAAAATCAGTGAATAATGGTTCGACCAGGCGTGACTGGTGCGCTGCCATTGTGTGTGTCCAGGGGAAATACCCGTGAGTTAATCCTTACTCATCGGCCTCAGATCTTAATGGAAGGACCTCTAATGTGTAAAAATGATTATGAGACTTTAAAATCGTCTTGTGAATGGTAATGTAATCAGTGATAAAAACATTAAGTTAAGAGAATGCGGGATGTGAAATAGATCGCCCTGCTCCGAGGGAACGAGTGATTATCGTATCGAGGATAGTGAAGTTTTATGATATCACGACTTCTAAACCAGGACAAACCAACGGATACCTCGTCCTGCTGGAATAAGAACCGTGTCGGTGTAGCAGGACGTCGAAATGAGATGGTGAATGGAGGAAATAAGGACATCAATCACCCCCAGTTAAGTAACCCTTCTAGTTATAACAGACTGATACGGGCCAGTTAGGTATGTTTTAATTGGATAGGTTAAGGGTGATCCAGCCACATCAAGTGACCACCGGGGAATATCTGGAAGGGGTGGGATTATGTACAAATGTTTTTCCTTGATGGATGTATCCTTTGTGTATCCTATCCCCCCCCCCCTTCATTCATTTAAACTAATATAATCTATACAGTCCACAATTAATTAATAACGCCGTGCTTGGGGGTGCTACCCAATTTATACTGGTCTCGGATAGATGTGGACAAGATTGTGAGGGTCGAGGGGCCACCTGTAGTGACCAGAGGTGGTTAAGTTTTCTCACATGTCTACAGGGGGTAACTACGGTAAACAATATGGTGTCCCCCAATGAGATTACTTGTATGTTTTATAATGTTGAGGTACATACAGGTAAGCACCCTATAAAATTTCCAAAATCTGCCCGCTGGCCCTTTTCCTAAAACCGGGATGCAATCAGTAAAAAATTAATTGAATTAATTACATATAATTAAGTGACTGATTGAAGGAAGTGGGTATAGGGTACACAAATTTAATCGGTCGTGTGGTGGGGGATAATTAGCCCAATTAATTACTAGCACATGGGTGGCTAGGATTTATACAAGAGAAAAGGGTGAAAGAATTACTCTCACAAGGTGTCTACTTAAGTTGTATAATTGGTGATTATTAATTCCCAACATGGCGGGGGTCTGAGGAAGTTAGTGCGGCTGGCAAGTCCATGGATGCCAAAGCAAAGAAAGCGTCCCTACAAGCCGGAAGGGTCATTTACAAAAATCATACAAAGTGTATGGAGTTAATGAGACAAGAAACGGTAAACCCTGATAAATTTAAAAGGTACACCTAGATCCCTTAGAAAATAGACATGAGTCATATAGATTGTGGTTTAAAGACTGTGAAAGAGATCTGCAGAGAATTGTGCAGATGATGCTGAAAGGGAGGGGCTGCTGGATCAATATTATGAAGTGGAGGACAACTTTGTGCCTGCAAAACTAAGGCTTTGGAGAAGGTAAAGGGTGTAAACAATGTTGTTGGTCTAACCTAATGAGGAAAGTCAGGGGTGTCTACCAAAACTCCCAAAAATTATGCATGCCTGTGTTTAATCCGGGAGAAAACTGGGAGGAGTTTTGGTCTATCTTTAAAGCAGTCGTACATGATAGGAGTGATCTTGCAAGTGTTACCAAATTATGCTATTTAAAGGGACAAGTAAGGGGAGATGCGCATGTTCTCATACAAGCATTCCAAATGTAGATGACTCCTAATAGTGAGGGCAGTTGACTTGTTGGAGGTCACTTACGGTAACTTGGAGCAAAGTAGGCTGGATCTAGTAGCTAATTTGGCTAGTTTGAAGACTCCAGATCACAACCGCAACAGTTTACAGCAATTCAGGATCAAACTAGAAGCACCCCTTAAGACCTGAGTAATAAATATGATCTGGAGGGAGCAGAGTGGTTATTGAGTGCCTTGATTCAGAATAAATTGAACCACAAACAGTAGAGTGGTTATCTAACAGATATCACAAGGGTTACTTCGGGTTGGAAGAAATAAGAGTGGGACTGCAGGAGCAAATTTGTCCAACTGCAGACCAGCCAACCCATTACCTCTAGGAATACCACGCCCTACAGACCCCAGTGCACCTGTCAAGTTCCACAAAGGGAAACTTTACCCCTAATATCAATAATCCTAAGTCACCTACTAAACGTGGTTACGTAGGCACATATCAAGTGACAGGGGCCGTAATAGGGGTTCTCCACATCAAAGCAAGAGGAGGAAGTACCACAATAAGGGTAGCCCAGTTGAAAAGAGGTCAGGCAAAGAAAGGAGAGATTGTATCTTCTGCAACGTACTCATTTCTCTAAGAACTGTAATGCCTATAATTCCATGGGATGTTAAAGGGGAAAGATTGGAAGAGCTTGCTAGATGTATCAGGTGTCTAGGAAAATCATAATGTAAGGGATTGCCGTGCAAAACTTGCACTATTGTTATCAGTGTAACAAGGGAAGACACCACATAGCTATGTGTAAGGGCGGATCAAAATCGTAATGATGGTAACAAAGTACTGACAGTGATAATAACCCGGAAAACAACATACCAACGTAAAGATTGCAGCTAACGCCCGGTAATGATGGCCAGCTGAGGTACTTTGCCTGTGTTGGATGTGGTGATTAATGATAAACGGCGTAAATCCAAAACTGTAACAGCATTACTGGATCAGGGATCACAACGTACCTTCATAAAACGTAATTCCCTTTTTAATGGTATGAAGGTACAAATGGGAAAATTCCTGCTAAAACTCAAGCTATCTGGTTTTCCTCTCGAAAAGAAGGCCCGGTCATACGACACTGTTTATGTAACGTCGGGCTGGGCAATGAGAGAAAACGTATTAATGCCGTAATTGTGGATAGGCCCCAAGAAAATATCTACAATAGGGCTTGGTAACGCTACTGAAAGGCTTCAAGTAAGGTAAATTTGGCACCTTCTGGTATAAATAATGATTGTGGAGCCAATAGAAAATTTTGAAAAGGTAGTGACCATTATGCCACCTTTGAAAAGGGGTATGACAAAGAAATGAGGAGTCACCCTTCTAAGGACAGCAGGAGGTCACGTGATGTATGGCGGGCTTCCTCGTACTGATAATGAATGACTGGAGGAAGCCATAAATACAGTTACGGTGGTCTTACTCATGAAAGTATCACCCCAGTATAAATATACTTCAAAAAGAGGATGAAGTTGAACCTGTGTATAAAATTATGGAATTGGACAGCATAGGGATCAATGTAAATGAAGAAAGTCCAGATGATTCCTTTACTCAAAACAATACCAGAAGGATGTTAAATTTGAATCTGGACAATACTGGGTGAGACTTCCGTGGAAGCTGAACCATCCAGACCTACCAACTAATTCCCGGGATGGCGTATGCACAATTGAAGGCTCAGCTCCACGAACTGAGCAAGACACCAAACTGTTGACTGCTTACGATGATATAATTAATGAGCATTTAAAATAATAAATTCATAAAGGAGGAAACCTCCCGAGCGAGCCAAGATTTATGGTCATATTTGCCACACATGGAGTGAAGAAGGATTCTAAGACCACTCCTCTGAGGATTGTGTTTATTGTAGTGCCAGGAGTAATAAAAAATGTACCTAGTTTGAATGACTGTTTGAAAGACAGGTCCGTCGTTGACGGAAAAACTGGGGGACATA